TCCTCTTCTTTCTGACTTGGTGAGAGCCTGGTTTCACTGTAGCCAAGGTGATAGGTGGCAGCCTCCCACAGACTAGTCAACTCTGTCCCTGCCCCTGGCCATGGACAACCCTGTTCACCTCAGCCCTGTAGTGCACAAATGAGGTGCTCTGTGCAAGGGGAGCCGGGGCTGGGAAAAGGTGGGGAAAGTAGAACAATCAGTCTGCTGGGCTGGGCCCTTGTTGAATGGCAGGCCTGGAGCAGCATCTTCTGCAGAGAGAGGTGGGCTGTGCGTTATCTCCATCCTAGCCCTCTTGGCGTAACCAGGGGTGAGGAGGAGCCTGGTTCCACCTCATCCCTCCAGCCGCAGCCTTGCCAGGTTCCTGAGTATTTTCCTCTTCTGCCACATGCTCGTGCACATTTATGTAAAGAGTTCCATGTCATTCTAAGGTTTCCGATATCATCCAAGTGCTTGCTGCTGGCTTCCATATTTGTCTCTCTAACCCAGATATCACCATATGGATGTTCCATAAGCCCTTTAGATTCATGTTCATAGAACTCACTGCCTTCCTTTCCTGCCCCACGGCTGACCTGCCGCTTCTCTTCATCAGAGTAAATTCCACCTCTATTTTCCTGGGTTCCCAACCTGAAAAACTTGGGAGTCATCCTGGACATGTTTTTCTCCCTTTCAACCCCCTACCTCAACCCCATCTAATCCATCTCTAGGTCCAGTCAGTTTTCCTCCTAAGCATTTCTCCAACCCCTCAGCTTCTCTCTTGGCCCCCTAGAGCCCATCCTCTGTGCAGTAGCCAGAGTGAGTCTGAAAAGGCAGTTTTCCTTTTCACTTCCCTGCTGTAAACCCTTCAATGGCCTCCCACTGACTTCAGGAGGAAGCTCAAACTCTCAAATGGAACTTGAAGTCCCTTTGGCTTCATGGCCTCTTCCTAATTCAGCCTCCTTTGTCACTCCCACTCCCACGCCAGAACACTGGGCTCCAGCCCCCCTCAACGATGTTCTGCCCACCAACATGCTCTCTCCAGCCTCCCCTCGGGCCTTTGTTCGTCGCATTTCTCCAACTAGAAAGCTCTGCCCTATCAAACTCCTTTCCAGCCTTTAGTTCTCAGTCTAGAAAGTGCTTCCTCCAGGAAGCCATCCCATTCCCTCACCAGATCTGGGTGAGGCGGCCCCCGTATTCCACAGCTCCTTCCTATCGGTGCATTCAGGAAGCTCTGTCGTTACCTCCTGTGTGCCCCTCACTTGCATGGAAGGCTGTGTGTCTCGCCCGCTCTAGTCCCTGCTGCTTCCACAGCACTGCTGACCTGGCGTGTCCACAGGGGAGCCACGAATGAATGGGCGCCTGCGGGAACCAAGGCAAGGATGTCCTCGGCAGCCTCTCACTTCAGTGACGACTCCTTGGTTGCTCTCCGGCCGCCTTCTCCTCCCAGCCTCGGCCCCTTCTGTGGTTCTGTCCCAGGGTGCGTGGGCCGCCTGCCTACAGCTTCTGCTAAGGGAAGTGCCTTCCTCCTGCCTTGCCCCTCTCATGTCTCCCAGGCCAGGTGACCTAATTAGTGGTCCCCAAGCCATCCCAGAACTTCTGCACCCTTTCAAGATCACTTGCCTTTTCCCTTCCCCCTGAAACTCACCTTCTGGCTGTGACTTCCATAAATTTTGCACAGTTAATTCCCTGATGCTTTTCAGTTCTTGCCTCCCAGGCTGAGCTAAGCCCCTGAAGTAATTTAGGTAACAGCTCAATTATCTCATCTCTCTTTGACTCTAATCTTTCCATTTCTATCACCACCTGGGAAGCAGTGAAAATGGGGTGTGCCACGTGTTTTCTGCCCAAACCTACTTCTCCCTTGGAGTTCTTAACCTTTGGTTCATGCCATCACCATCCATCCAGTCACCTGGGTGACTCTGATCCGAAAACCTCTGAATCAACACCCACTCCTTCTTCTTCTCTTTTCCTTTCTATTTCCAGGAAATTTCCAAGATTATTTGCTCTCTTGTTGAGGAGTCTCTCAAGTCCTGCCTTCTCTGGCCACATACTTGTCACCACCTAAGTCCTCACCATCTCTCTTCTCTCAGACTGAGGCCACCTCCTGACTGGTCCTCTGCCTCCAGCCCCATGCCTATGCCCACACCCATCCACTCACCCATCCATCCATCCATCTTCCATCTACTCATCCATTTTCCAGTTTCCCTTAATGACCTTCCTAAGACATATTGATTAGGTCATGCCTTTGCATAAATAATTTCCATGATTCCCCACTGCCTACAGTAGGCATTCTTAGCCCTGGCTGCATGTTAGAATCTTCCCAGCAATTCTGAGTTAGTTGGTCTTGAATGGGGCCTGGGTCTTGGTGTTTTTTAAAAGCTCCCCAGGTGATGCTAGAATGCAACCTAGGTTGAGAACCCTGTGGCCTGGAAGATAAAGTCCCAGCTCATTAGCTTGGCATACAACATCCGCAATAATCAAGCCTTTAACACATCTCTCCAGTCTTACATCCTACTAATCCTCCACTAATACATTTGGAATTTTAGCTCTACTGAACTTCTTCTCTTTGTATCCACAGTTCCCTCTGCCTCCAGTTCTGTCATTTTCTGCCACCCTATTTGGAAAACTCCTACTCATTCTTCAACACCCAGCACAATTGTGACCTTGCCTCATGGCTCTCTCTTCCATTGTATCTATTATGTGTCAGGTACATTGCTGGGCACTTGATATGGTGACTGAAACAGAAACAATCCCAAATCTGAAAGAACTTGTGTTAGGGTGAGAAGTGGGGTTGGAAACTCCTTAATACAGATGTTCTCAAACTTGAATGTGCATTGGAGTCACTTGGAGGGCTGGTTAGAACACAGATGCTGGCCCACTCCTGAGGTTTCCTATTCTGTGGTCTGGGGTGGCCCTAAGCACTTGCATGTGCCACAAGTTCCCCAGCGATGGTGGTTCCACAGGTCCGGGGACCAGGCTGAGAACCCGTTAGAGCTCTCATTAGAGTGTGGTTGCAGATGTGCACTTGGGGGAGGTGTCATTTAAGCGGAGACCTAGAAGAAGAGGAGGAGGCAGTCATGAGAAGAGCAAGGGCTAACTCATTCCAGATGGAGGAAACAGCGTGAGTGAAGGCCCCAGGTGGGAAGGAAACTGGCACGAAAACAAAAGGGGACTGTGTGCCTGGGTTGTGGAGGGCACAGGAGGAAGGCAGTGCCTTCTCCAGCTTCTCAAGCAGAACCGACACTCCGCATGTGTCTCTGTTACAGTGCTTTGCCACCTTTCACTGTAAGCCTCCCCTTCCGCCCTCAGCCACTTGACAGGGGGTCCCCCCACCAACCACCCCAGGGCAGACTTGTGTCCCAGTCGCCCAGAGTAAATGCTGAGGGATTTGGGCTGGGTGGTGGAATTTTAGTGTTCTGGCTTTTTTGCAAGGCCATAGTAAAGGGGAAATGTTGGCTTCTCCTACAGCAACAATGTCTCCTCCCTTTTCCTTATCAGTGTCCAACGTAACCATCCTCAATCTAACCAGGTTCCCTTTCCCAAATTCTTGCTACTTAGACAGGTTTTTAGCCCATTTGGTGATAAGAGGAAATTCCCCCAAGTCAAGTGGCCCCTCCTCATCCATCCTTCCCAAGCCCAGGAGTTGGGGGGTGAGTGTGGGCATGGGAGTGCTGTGGGTGCCCAGAGGCCATCAGGGCTATGCCCTCAGGCCCTTCCACTTGGCTTTGGGAGGATGATGTGGTCACTGGAGAGTCAGCAGAATTCCCTTCCTGAGCAATGCTCTTAGTGGGAGGTGAGTGTGTAAGTGTGGCTGGCTCTCAGAGGTGGCCCACCCTTAGGGCACCAGCACAGCAAGGCAGGTCTGGAGCACCCTGGAGCCAACCACCCTGAGGTGGCATGTGGTCCTCTCTGCTCACATCCTACCTTCCCAGCATCTCCTTCCCACTCTGGCAAGTGGAGTAAAGGAAAAGTCAGGGCCAGGGGGCAAGAACACAGCACAGACACCCCATATGGCAACATGGGATTATGGGTTTGGTTCTGGTATCTAGGTGTCCTTCCCTCTTTGTTCCTGGAGAATAGGACATATACATCCTTTACTGAGGCAAACAGAGGGGTATTTGGTAAAGCATAGATAAGAGAGAAATTCCCCCATTTCATTTTTTGGAAACATCCCATTTCCCAAGTTTTGGGAAACAGTGGTGTATAGATCTCTGGTTCTCAGACTTTGGCGTGAATCAGAATCCTCTGGAGTGCTTGTTAAAACTCAGACTGCTGGGCCCACCTCCAGCGTTTTTGATTCGGCAGGCCTGGAGTAGGGCTCGAGAATCTGCATTTCCAACAAGATCCCAGGCGACGGAGCTGCTGATCTGAGGACCACACTTTGAGAACCCCTGTTTTAGCAGAATGCCCAGCTAGAAGACGCTGAGAATCTACCAGTCATTACAGGACAAAGATTTATTTGTCTTGTATGTACTTTATTCAAAGCAGCTTTCCTTAATCCCAAATACAGAACCCGAAACCTCCAGCGCTCCAGCAACACTGAAGGGCTGAAGAACGTGTTTCTCAGAGGCCAAGAGCCAGAAGCTGACGCTGGGGGAGGACAAAGGGGTTAGAAGGCTGTGGGGACCCCAGGGACGGGAGAAGCAGGAAAGGGAAATGCAGTGTCGGCTTTTTGCTTTTTCCACCGCATAGTTCTAGAAGTCATACAAGCATATCAAACCCAGTTGGATTAGTATTTCTTAGCTCCAGGGAAGGCAGCTTCTTCCCAGAATGGCATGATGCAGGTAGCAAATGCCACATGCAATGGGAGTGAAGAACAGGATGGGACGTAGTGTCAATGACCTGGGTTTTGGCCCCAGCACTGCTCTGTGACCTTGAAAGGATCACTTCAGCTCTCTCAGTATCCATTTCCCATCTGTAAATGTTCTGTAATAAAACTGAGCTTGAAAGGGCCCCTGAGGGTGACAGGGTAGCACACTGTGGATGATAGTTCTGGTGAAGCCAGCTGACTGTCTTGGTTTCCACAGGAAGGACCAGTACCTCCTCTCACCTGTGAACTGTTGGTATCTGGTCCTGCATCAGACCAGGCGGGAGAGTCGAGACCATGCCACCCTCAATGACATCTTCATGAATAATGTCATCGTCCGCCTCTCACAGATCAGTGAGGATGTCATCAGACTCTTCAAAAAGGTAAGAAGCAGCTTTGCCCCAGCTGGCTATGGCACTGCTGTGCCAGTCAGGGTGGGATGTGGTGTGGAGACATGGGATGAGGAGGGCAGGTGTGTTAAAGTGTGCAACGAGCCGAGGGCTGGCCTTGGCATCCCAGACCCGAGTTTGAAACCTGGATATGGCAGCTGGTCTCAGCCACTTCAACGACCACCACCACAAAAATAAAAGCAAGGTTAGGTAAGTAGCACACATTCATTGTAGGAAATTTAGAAAAATGGATGTGAGCACACACACAAAAATTAAAATCACCTTAAATGTTATCACACAGCCATAACCACTTTGATATCGTAGGAATATCATTCTGTGTACATATGCAAATACATTTTCTATGATTGCTCATATTTATACATTTTCTCTATACACGTGCACCTTTTCCCAAATGAGATCATAGTGCATATATGATTTTACCGTTTGCTATGTCACCTAACAAATTATGTAACACTTTATTACAGAATTTTCCCATGTTAGTAAATACATTTCTGTAACATTTTTAAATGATTCCATGGTATTTCATAATACAGATGCACCCTAATTTATTTAACCAATCTCTTATTGTGGAACACTTAGGTTGTTTCCATTATTTTATTCTTATAAATAATGCTGCTATGAACTTCCTTGTATGTATGTATACCTTGTCACATTCACTGCTATTAGGATTGATTTCTGCACCAGGAATTTTTGGGTCAAAAGTTTGCTCATTTTTAAGGCCTTTAACAGAGTTCTCAGTTGCTTTCAGGAAGATTTCACTCATGCAAATGCTCAGAAGTCAAGTGTGAAGGAAACAGTCACTTTTTATGCCCCAGGGGTCTTTGTATCCCAAGCCCCTTACATAGTGCCTGACAAATAATACGTGCTGTGTAAATGTTTTTAGAATTGAACTTACTTATGTGAACTTCAGTTTCCCTGTCTGTAAAATGGGCCTCTGTGAGCCTCATCCTCTTTGTCTATCAAATGGGGCCAAGATCACCTACTTCCTGGGGTAGTGTGAGGGTTAAATGGAAGGTGCATGTGAAGAGGGGAGGTCGTCCTGAGAACTGGATCAGGGTGGTGTGGTCTCTTCGTCCAGAATTCTTAAATTCTTGGGTTCATAATCTTGGTTCAATCATTTATCAGCTGTGAGTCTCTGGGCTCCTTACTTAAACTCTCTGTGCCTCAGTTTCCTCATTTGTGAGATGGGGATAGAAATACCCACAGGGCAGCCAGAGGATTGAGAGGGTTGGTAATCCCACATAAAGCATGGAGAGCAGTGCTTGGCACCAATTAGGCACTCAGGAAAGCTGGCTTTTATTACAGGAATGTAAGAGACTTACTACTTAAAATAATCTAGTTTATCTATTCCTGCCAGGTGTCAATTTTAAGGATTAGGTAACCTGGGATTACAGGAGGTACAGGAAGAGGACAAGTTGATTTGAAATACAGTAATCTCTCTATGGTCTATTGGATTGTCCACTTTGAGGATGACTTCTATAGCAAAATTGTAATCACAGGCTAATTCCCTCCTGCCACACAATATACTTTGGTCCCCTCCTGGGGCTGTGTTTATGCAATGTACTCTAAGTTTAATATTTGTGTAAGCAAACATAATTATGAAGGTAAATGCAGTGCAAAAAAAAAAAAATCACACAGTGCTTTGCAAAGCCAAAATGAAGTGATTCAGATCACTTGGTCCCATCACAAGCCCCCACCTGCCACCTCTGTTACATCTTTTTTCCTGGGTGGTGACTCACAGAGAAAGGGTCATCAGGGCCTTTCAGAAATGAAGGGTCTTTTTCCTGATCTGAGCCCTGGGACAAGTGAGATAAATCTTTTCAGTTCTCATTTAGGTTGACAGCAGACTCATTTATGATGGAGGTTAACAGGGTAGAAAATAATGAAAAAAATGTCTCTACAGCTGAGCTTCTGGCTGCTTGTTACTAGGCCTGTGCCTAAGGAACAAAGGAAACAACTCTCCCCTGCTGTCCAGGAGAGAGACAGGGCAGGCCCTGGTTGGCTGACTTAGCCCAGCACGGTCCCTTTGTGCTGCACCAGTTATAGATAATCTCAGCACTGAGGCTGCACTCCTTATATAATAAGAGTTCCTGCAGACCTCAAAACGACTGTGGAGGCAGGTCTCTGGTCAGGGGGTTAGTGGGATCGTCACTCACCACACCTTATAGATGAGGAGGCAAAACTGCGAGGAGAATCAGACTCGATGCCTTTTGGCCTATTGTTATTACCAGCAGGAGGCGGTACTGGCTGGGCTTTTGGAATCTGCCTTGGAAACTGCCCCTCATTGAATTGTGACCCTGAACAAGTCTCTCTCTGAGCCTTAGTTTTCTCATCTGGGAAATGGAGAGAATGGCAATGCCTACTTCAGGGGGCTACTTTGATGAGTAGAGGTTGGCCAAGTGTGCAGCACAGGTTTGGCATCCAGTAAGTGCTCATTAAGTGGTGGCTTACTAGCGAATGGAGGCCCCTCTCCATTCCGTAGCTGTTCCTTCACGCTATTCCTTGCTGACCTCACTAAGACACAGGGCAATGCATCTACCGGAGGTTGGAGTGGCTGCCAGACCAGTGTCCTTCCTGGGTGTGGGCCTGGCACAGCTGCTCTGCCTGTCATTTTCTCACTGATGCAGGATGCTCTCTGACTTAATAACTTACCTTTTCATGATTCTCCATTTCCCTTTTTGCAGTCTGTTCTTATGACTAGAGGCAGCACTTCAAATTCCACAAGCCACTTTAGGATTTGTCTGGAACAATGGGCTTCTGTATGCAGATAGTCCTTGCTTTAAAGGTGAGATGAGAATCTACCATAGCAAAATGAAACTGGACAAGATCTGAGAGGCCATCCTAGTGATTAGGACTCTTATGGTTGCAAACACAAACACCCAGCTCAACTGGCTTGAAGGAAGAAAGGGAACATAGCAATTTTCCAGAGCCAAGGCTGGTCAGGTGTGGGGGACTTCAAGGGCACAAAGGAACTCAGTCTCTCTGCAACTCTGCTCCAATTTTCTGTTTTCCAATTTTCTCCGGGGAGGTTGATGCTCGGGAAGGGCTCTTTCATAGTCAAGTCTCTCTCCATGTGATGATCACATGGCTCCTGGCAGCTCCAGGCTTACCTCCCACCTGCTTCCAGTCCAGCAGGAAGTGAGAATCTGCATTTCTAACAAGGTCCCAGACCATGCTGATGCTGGTCTGGCAACCACACATGGAGAGTGACTTACCTAGTCCAACCTCCTTGTTTTACAGGTGAGGAAATTGAAACCTACCTCTGGCAGCTCAGAGTCTGACTCCAAAAGCAGGTATCCAATTCCAGGTCCAGTACTGAATCCGCTACCCACTGTGGTGCACCAGCAGGGAGGTTCCATCTGTCTCCTCCCCTTTCCCTAACCATTTCTAAGACTGGGTATTATTGAAGCCCATTCATTCCACGTTCAGCCTCAGCCTCCTTAACAATAGGCATCCATTATTCTATGCTCTGATGCCTGCAGAATTTAATTACTTGCCCTGGCGTGAAGTGAATTTGATTGTGGGAGCTGCGGTGTTCTGGAGGAAGTGCTAATGAGGAAAGACTCTTAGCAAAGAAGAGAGGGCATCTGGGGGGCTTATGCTTGAAAGCAGTCATTCACTCTGTTGCACTGGTCATCTTTGAGCTTTTTCGTTGCCACCTCGAAGATGGCCCTCGCATTTCATAAATAAATCAAAGCTTTTGTATCCAATAATTGCCTTGCTTTGTAACCAAGATCAAAAGCATCAGAAGCACCAATGGCCTTGGACTCAAAGCCAAGTGTATTTTTTATTTTTTGGTTGCAGGAGAAAGTGAGGGTTTGTATGCTGGTGGGTCCGGCTAGGAGGCCTGCATGGGGACGGAGAGAGAGAGGGGGAGAGCAAAGTGGGCAGACTGCCAAGGGAATGAGGAACCTTCAGCCAGTCTCCACTGTCTCCCATGGAGAGGAAGTCGTGAATGCTCACTCTGCTAGTTCAGCCTGCCAGGTGGAAATCATGCATTTTGAACTCATTCAGTAGGCGTATATTAGTACTATCATGACAGTAGGTGGACAATAATTGTAGATAACAAATTAGTGCTTACTGTGTGCTAGGCACTGGGCTAAGCATTCTGTAGATATTTAATTCTTAAACACTAAGAGGAAGATGCTGTCATTATCCCATCTTACAGATGAGGAAACTGATGCTGATAAAGATGGAGCTGGAGTTTGAATCCAGAAGTGTCTGACTCTGGAGCCATACTTGGTGGTAAAGTCAGGTGTTAAAGAAGATAGAGGAAATGAGTCAGACATGATGCCCTCCTTTAAGAAGCCAAGATGGAAGTATAGCAATGACTCAAATATAGTGGACAGGGAATTTGGTTCAGAGGGAGGAAGACTTCTAATCTGGGCTAGGGTGGCAGGGGGTTCAGGGAAGGTTTTATGTTGGGGATGTAGCATTTGAAGTGATTCTGGAAGGATTAAGATCTATCTCAGCTTGGGTTCCCCAGGAAGCTGACTCTAAGACAGTGATTACAGTGCAGTAGCAACTGTTCTTGAGGTGCCCGCCTGCAGAAGGAAAGGGTGGGAAACAGGATTCAGGGAATGGAAAAGTTGGGCTGTGGTGCTGTCACAACAAAGGCCTCAACTGACTCCTTGGGGAGCTCTGATCTGGGATGACTCTTAGGAGTTCTGCTGAGTCCGGGCAAGGAGGCGGGGCTTTTATGCCCTCATGTTGATTCCTCAAGGGGGTGTGGTCTTAGGCAGATGACTTTTAAGCTGAGGCAGTTCCGAAGAGGTTGACAGCTGGGGCTATCTGCCAGCGGCTCTTCCCACAGTTGAGGGAATAAGTATTCGAGACCTGAAGGGGATTGTGCTACTGTGTCCACAACATATGTGCATAGATTGGGGAAAAGTGCGACACAGGATTCCAGACCAAGGCTAAAGCCTATGTGTCCTGTGTCTCGAACAACTAGGCCAGTATTGCCATCTAGTGCA